TGTACCTTTCACCGTTGGATTGGTCAATTTCTGCCTGATTGGAATGCCAAGCTTTGATCTGGAAGTGACCTTTCTTGAGGATAGCGTCAATGTCGTTGGTAATCTGTTTTGCTTTTTCTGTAGTTTCTCTGGACCCACCAATATCATCCACGCACACATGGTCTTGAACTTCCTTAGCGGCTTCCGGGAATTCAGCTTCTGATAACTTTGCTAGATTATTGATGGCGTTGGTTGCTATGTCAGGAGCTGGTTTATCGCCGAAGTTCAATCTGAGCCATTGATATACAGTTGGTGAATCAGTTGTCTTACTCCTCCACAGAAATCTGTGATAAACTTTGTCGTCTGGATGCACCAGTACTTGATTGAACATCTTGCGGACATCGCCAGTGAATGCTACTTCGTTCCATCGCCATGCTGCCAGTACATCGAGGAGACTATTGATGAAGTTAGGACCTTTCTCGAGATGATCGTTAAGGGACAAACCATCGTGACCTTTCGAAGATGANGCATCTTCACTTGTATTCTCCCGTCGACTTAAGTAGTTGAAGCTGCAAGGGACTTCATGAACTTGCTTTCACATGACACGTTTTCACTGTACGTACAGAGTTTGGTTGGTCTGACGCCAAGGAGGTCTTGGTGAAGAAGTCTCTTGATATCCTCCACGGCACTTACTGTCCCGACCTCTATAGACTCAATTTCAGATGTTGCAGAGCTGTTTGACTCGAACTGTCCCAAAACGTACCATCCAAGGTTCTCCTGGTTCTCCAGACGCTGTGTGGATATCAACGAAGGCTTCTACGAAGTCTGTACTGTTAGGAGATCTATGGCACGGCCCGAAAGATGTAGCTTATCTGAAACGTTCTTCAGATGGGTGTAATGTCCCACTTGCTCCTTAGAAATTGTTTTGGCACTACTGCAAGGTCTTGTAACAGTGTACACCTGAAGGGTCTTCGAAATATCCTCGTCAGTAAGTGAGGCAACTGTGATATCGATTATCTGTGAAGGTTCGCTCTTTTTCTTCCCACCAGCCAGATTCATAGTGAGATGCATTGCTGATCCACTTAAGCCGAGTCGTCTAGCTGCATTTTTGGAGAGTAGGCTAGTATTCGATCCAGAGTCCAGCATTGCAAAGACCTTGACAAAGTTTCCATTTCTGGTCATGACTTTAACGTTTAGTGCAGGGCACAAATCAGTAACGGGTTTTAACTTGCTTTTCTGGTACACAGTATTTCCTTCGATGTTGCCGTTCCATGTAGCAGATGGTCCTTGGAATTGACTTTGGAAATGTGCTGCTTTTGGATTCAAACTTGTGTTTGTGTCACCAGCCTTTTCATTGTGTAGAGACCGGTGGTGGTTTTTTCTGCATTTGTCGCAGGTTGAACCATCAGGTTTTTTGCAATCGTTTGTGTGATGCGCTTTCAGACACTAGCGACATTGCCAATGTAGCTTAACAATCTCCCACTTTTGATTGACTTTTAAATTCTGGAACTTAGGACAG